GCATAATAAGAAAGGATTAATCATACTTGAATCGAAGAATCGATATTGGAGTGAAAATACAAGAAAATAACATGCTGACACGCTCGCTACCTTGCTCGCCTAGCGAGCTCCTAGCGAGTGCTCGCTACCTGTTCGCCTAGCGAACAAGCTCGCGAAGGCAAATAGAAGCCACTGACTTGATTCGCTACCTCACTCGCTCAGCGAAGGCCTAGAGAATGCTCGCCACCCCCATTCGCTACCAGCGAAGAACACCAAAACCATACTGCCCAAGTCTGGGACCATTCGCTACTGGCTCGCCCCAGCGAGTGCTCGCGACCGGCTCGCCTAGCGAACAAGCTAGCGAGGGTCTGCGAACTCAGAAATTCCCACTGTCCAAAACTCCAAAACTCATCAAAATCCAACCGATTCAATCCTAACTCGTTCTAGAAGCCTTAGCCCAACATTCCTCGACTAAACTTTACCACTTATTCTCATTTTTAACCGCTAAACTCGGTTTCTATCGATTAAATCAAATTCAACCTAAAAATGGAAAATGAGCAAAGCTCTCCCCAATCCAAAATCAAACCAATAAAAACATACATAATCATACACATCGAAAGAATAATAAAGTTTCACACCCTTACCCGATTAATCGAAGCTTAGAAGTTTGATTCTTGATGATTCTAGGTTTTCTCCTCTTCCTCCTCTTTTCTCTTCTTTCCTTTCTATTTCTTTCTATCTCTTTTCTTTTCTCTCTATTTCCACTTATACTTTTTCTATTATATTTCTCTCAAATATCTACTAATTAAGGATTATCTAAAACACCCTCTAATTAATTCCCAAAACTCTCTGAATAATAAAATAACATAACACGCACACATAACATATTAATATTCAAATTCCACAATTAAAAGAATAATCAATCAAAATAAATTAAAAGACTCAACAAAAATGAGAAATTCATAATCGGGGCGTTACAAAAACCATAAACCTCGTGCCTTGAGCGCACACTGATGAGACGATGGTCTGGTGAGAACCAAAACCCTGATTCAAAGTTCACCCCGCCAAACCACTGATGAAATCCTAAACAAACGACACCCTTGTGGTAACTCAGAGAAACTGAAGTCATTTCTTGATAAACCTCTGATAGGCACTGCTCATGAAAAATGGAAACCCAACACTTCTGCCTCACGCTTAAGTACAATAGCTGAGAGAAACAATTTCGGCCCAGAGGAAATCCTCCTCATCAGACAACCTCTTGTCTAAAACCCCAATTCGAACACCTTTGAAGCTTTTGAAATCAAAATCTGATTCATAAGTGAAACAAAACAAACAAAAGCTAGTAAACTGGTTAGTTATGCAGTATGATGATTGACCTAAATGATATGCGAAAGATCAAAGAATCTGAGGATAAAATTTGGGGTATGACACATATCTTATGGATTCTCTCAACTTTACAAGGTTCTAACCAATCCTAACACAAGTAAAAAGGGAAGGGATAAGATTTGAGCTCACAAACCATACACTATATGGAAATATGTTGCATGAGTTCAACAACTCAAACTATCACTAGTCAGAAACCACATCAATGCATCTTTCCCGGGTCAACCCCATGTCTAGAGTTATCGACACGGGTCACGGATCCTTGTATTATAGATATCTTTTCTCGGCCAACCCACACAAGAGTTCTCGACACGGGTCACAGATATCTAGCTCATAGGTAACTTTCCCCAGCCAACCCTATACAAGAGTTCTCGACACGGGTCACAGATACCTATCTAATAAGTAACTTTCCCCGATCAACCCTACACAAAAGTTCTCGACATGGGTCACAGATACTTATTAACGAATAATGCGTACATTTTGGAGGAGCTCTCTATATAAGCCTCCACTCTTGGAACGACATGTCTCAAGGGATTGCTTCTGACTACGTGATCACATACGCAAACATTATTGTATTCGACAATCACAAGGCAAACACATTCACCTTATTCTCAAAGTAACACTAAGCCAACACATGTTCCATATAATGTCTCACCTCTCCACTAATCAACTATTTGTCAAAGATGCACACCTAGGCATCAAATGTACAAGCATTGTCATCTAAGTCATTTATCATTCCATTGAATTTTTGGTACCCTTAACTTGGTTAAAAGTCCAAAATTAAGGGTATCCAAAATGTCTCTAATGTACCAATTAATAAAACCTCAGAGTCAGATAATATTAATTAAATCAAATCTGAGCTCATCGGTTGCTCTAATTATCTCAATAGATAACTCTCAGAGTACACCTGAACCCAGTTGATCTCAACTAATATTATTTAGAGCATTTTATCAAATACGGGGTATTACACAAACACAACATAGTCACAAACACAAACATAAATATGAGGACTAAATGGAACATAAACAAAAACGTAAAGACAAACACAAACATAAACATGACCACAAAGAGCAACACAAACTGAAACATAAAAATGAAAAAAATTTCGTACACCATATCAAATACAAACACATACATAAACATACAAAATAAACACAAACACAAACACAGTTTGAAAATGAAAACACAAAGTTGAACACAAATATAAACACAAACGCAAAATCTAAACTATGAACACAAACACAAACACAGACACACTCAGAAAGATTAACAAAAACACGAAAACAAATATAAACAACAAACACAAACACACTCAGAAAGATTAAAAAAAACACGAAAACAAATATAAACAACAAACACAATATCAAAAACACGAACACAAAGAGTAATCCAAACAAAAACATAAAAATGATAATCTTTTTTTCGTTAACCATATCAAACACAAACATTAATACATAAGACATATCAAAGCATAACAAAACATAAGCTTTATAACAAACTATAACAGAAAACTCAGAAAAACATATATACAAAGATGAATGAGACGATGATGAAGATGAATGAGTCGAAGCAGGAAGAAGAAACGGGAGGTAGATTCATCCCTTTAAATATTTCAAAATTAGAAAACAACAAGTATGGAAAAATGGAGAGAGAGAGAGAGAGAGAGAGAGAGAGAGAGAGAGAGAGAGAGAGAGAGAGAGAGAGAGAGAGAGAGAGAGAGAGAGAGAGAGAGAGAGAGAGAGAGAGATGTTATTCAAAACAAAAGACAAATTGGTTTTTTTTAGGAGAATTGATTTCAAAGTACAAATGATGTAAAAAGAAATTGAAAAAAGAGAAAAACAAAAAAAGTGGAATGAAATAGTTATATTTTAACCAATTAGAAAGAAAATCAGTTAAAATGGTGTGTAAATTAAAATAAAGTATAAACATTACCAACCAAATGGATTAAATATGTTATTTTACTTGCAAAAAATAAAATTTGGATCAAAATTGTCGTCATTTTAATGAGGTGGCAGAATTAAAGAAAATACAAAAATGAATTTTTTACAAAATTTAATTTTCTTATATTATAAATATAAGTGAACATATTCATTCCATCCATTCAAATAGTAATGGATTTTAACCAATATAAGAGAGTAGGTAGAAAAAATATTTATTTTTTATCATTTGAATATTATTCTAACTATCCTATCATATGATTTTCATGTGCATATCAAAACATGATAAGATAGTTGTTCTGGACTGGGCTTAGGTCTGTCCATCCGTCGGGCAGACCCAACCCAACGCTATTTGGAGAAAGCTTAAATAGACCCAAATCACTCAGTGTCGGACACAATTCCCTCCGTCGGACAGACACTCCCTCCGTCGGGAAGAACCCCCATGTCTTCCATACATTCTCCACGTGCTCCCTCCGCGGGACACATCATCACTCGACTATCCACCTCCAAAAGAGCTGGTCGGCCCACCTTCCGAAGATCAGGAGACGGTTGAATTAGGGCGAAAACCACGTGCTAGTCTTCACTATGCCACGTAAGCCCTAGCAGTCACTTGGGTTGGGTCTGACAATCCAGCCCAACACCGTTGGATCTGCGCTGGGGTCTCTCTATAAATACCCCATTTCACTAGAGGGTCATGTATTCACTTCTTAACCTCTTATATGTATTTGCTCCCACTCTGGACCATTACTTACTTTGACATCAGAGTGTCTTGCAGGTACACCCCTCTCCTCCTCCCTACTTTCGGTAAACAACTTGCAGATCAACGACGCGTGGCAGGTCACTGATTCCTTTATGATCAGGTCAGATCAATAGTATAATATTAGAGTTTAATTGACATGCACTTACTCTCTAAAATAGTTTTACACTAACATGTAATGAAAAATTAACAATCTGTCATATCATTAATTTTTTTTCAAATAGTTTTACACTTTCATCTAATGAAAAATTAACAATTTATCATATCATTAATTTTTTTTTCAAAATATCAGTGTGATTTGATAAAATTCATAATCGTTATTGATTGATAGTATAAAAATAATTTACACTGCCAGTATATCACCCATTTTCTCATAATATTATCTAGTTTATTATTATAATATTATCTAGTTTATTATTAGAAGTTCTTCAAACATAAGATATAAGACATTATTTATCATTGTTGAGTGTAGGATACAAGACTTTATCTTTATAAGCAAGTTAATGACATGATACAATGTTGGAGCAAAATAAAACGTACAAATTATGTAGTGAAGGAATTTTATCAAACTACTTAATTTCATATTTAAGTGTTTATAATAACTTCAAATAATTTATAATACACTTGTTTCTTTTATCATAAGATCTTTTATCATAAAAACTCATGGTAATAAAAAGGTTGATGCAAAGGAGAGAAGAGACTGCAATTCCACAATCACACAACTAGTTTAAAACTGAGTTTCAAAATATTTGTATAAAAAAAGAATGAGAAATTTATAATCTCTAATCATTGTACATACATCAGTTTTTGACATCGAAATCTAAAGGACATTAATGTAGCCACTGGTTGAGGGAATGTATAGTCATTTTTCTTTAGAGGAACTTGTAACACCAGAATTCAACGGTGATTAATCAATCAACCAACCCTTTTTGCCATGAAAATTCCTAAGCTTGCTTCTTGAAATTCCAATCAATATCTCCACTAGCCTACAAGAAACACAACCCATATTGTATTGTCAACCAAAATATTATAATAATGCTTTATTCAAAAGTCAGACAAAACAGGTCAGTTCAACCGGGAACCAGACCAATGTAGTCAAGATCGAAGGTTGGATCATAAGATTGTAAGATCTTACGTGTTAAGGATGCATGAGAGTGCTACGATCAAAGAAAGATCGTTTTTGTCACCGGCATAGTCAAGATCACGTACTAGATCGTCAAATTGTTAGATCTTACGTGCTAAGGATGCTTGAGAGTGCTACAATCAAAGAAAGATCGTTTTCGCCCCCGGCATAGTCAAGATCAAGCTTTTTGAAGCAAGATCTTTTGTGCCTGTATTATATTTTTCTTTATGTATGCTGGCGACGAAAACGATCTGTCTTTTATCCTTTATATGAGAGTGCTAATTATCCGAGTTTTACGATCTTTCACAAGCCAACCGATCCTAGTTAAGATCTTGTGCCTGACTACATTGAACCAGACAGTTCACTAGTTGGTTTGGTTCCAGTTATCATGCAGTTTGGTTTAATTGGTTTGAACTGGAGTTGAACTAGGTTGAACATTAGTTGAACTTGAACCACCAATGGTTCAACTTGTTTTCATTTTTGCATTATTTTTCTTAACTTTTCTATTTATTTATTTATTTGTTAGTTGGTTTGACGATGGTTATCATTGATCCGACTGAACCATCGTTTAACCGATTGAAGCAGTTATACTATGAGCCGGAGATCTATAGGTTAGATCTCCATATGAGTCTTTAAAATACTGTGTTATTGTGATAGATTTAGAAACTTACTGCTGTTTTAGCAATTTCTTCGGCCTTTTCGTCGTTGAAACCCAAAGCAGACAAGACCTTTCGACCTGCCGATTCTTCTTGTGACCAAATTCCAATAAGTAAATGAGTCACATTTGTTTCTCCTTCTTCCCCTACATTTTATATCATAAGACTTCAGAAATGGAAAACAGAAAACATCAAAAATTGAACGATAGTTTCAACAAGTTTTATCATCGCGTATTCGATGCATACCTGACTTTAATTTCTCGTTAATTGCCAAATCGAGGGCTTTCTGAAGTGGTTTGGATAAAGAAGGAATTACGGGGCTGGAGAAAAAATAGTTAGACTTCCCAACTATCTCTAATGTTTGTTCGCGTACTTTCAAATACGTAATTCCATTAGCTCTTAAGAATTTCGCAGCTTTACTTGTTCCTGAAAGGACAACCAAAATTAATCAAATGCTCAACAGCATATATAAGGTGCCCAACGAGAAACAAGAGAACAGATTTATTAAACTCCTGACTCAAACTAATTAGGTCCGGTGTCATTGATGGCGGTTGGTGGTCCCTGGCGGAAAGCCAAAAAAATCCACCATATGGTGTCGCCATATCGGCCATAAAATGCCATGGCGCCACCATCCTTCACACTAGTTACATTCAATCAAATCTATTTTTTTTCAAATTATTAAGAGTGTCTACGGATCAGTGTCTTGTGTCCATGTCTTTGCTTTAACGCTTAGTCCATGCCAACAAGAAATATGTTTTGCTATTATTATTGAAAAGTCAAAAGAAACCAATTGAGCATTGCAACAAACCTTCAACCAAAATCCCCATGAGAAGAGTCTCAGTCCCTACTTTAGCATACTTCAGCCTCCTTGTTTCCAATTCTGCCATTGCATATGATTTTAAAGCCCTCGCAGACCACCTTGGTCTGCAAAACAAATTGAAGGGAAAAAACTCATCAATATAACCAAGCAACCCAATTACATGCTATGAAGCACGGACACCGCCATGGACACTGACACTCTAACACTAATAATGTTAAAAATATAGGACATGGCACCACACATATAGTATTAGAGTTTCATTTATCCAATTAATATATATTAAAAGAGTGAAAAATATTCTAATCAAAATTAATGTCTTTAATTCTTCATTGATAACATTACTTCAATATATGTTTAACCCTAACCCTTTTAGATGTATGTGAGATTTGTTCAAGAAATGCACACAAGGTGTGTTGAAACAAAGTAAAAAACAATTTCTTATGAAACACTTGTTTGAATTGTCCGACACTCATTGTATGAGTGTCACAGGGTTTATGGCTTTCGCAATTTCGGTTGATGAAGATGTCGCGACATTGATTGTGATAGTCGCAATGTGAATTAACCACAATTTTTCTGTGACATATAAAATGATAATATCAATATCGGTATTGATATCTGCCTGCCAATACTGTTTTGGCCGCGGACAGTTTTTTAAAACCCTATGATTGTCTGACACGATTCAAAGAGTTTTCATACATGGGACTACCGAAGGAATTGACAATAGTTTAACAAATAACAAATACTAGGGACCAAATTGAAGTTTCATACATGATTGAGTTATGAGCAATATGAACAAACAAACAAAAGAACTCACTTTGGATTTGGGATTTTCTGCGGTTCATCAGATTGTGGATTCCTGCAAAACAAAAAACACACACACAAAGATAAAAACTTTAAACAATTAGAACCGACCCAGAAGAAAATTCAAGGACCCCAAGAACTTACGGGTCAGTGGGGGGACTAAACGGCACCGTTGCGGAGGAAGCACTGCAATTGGTGATGAAAATTGAACGAGTTGAGGAAATGGGTCGATGAAGGATGAGTTTTGTTGGAAAGAGAGAAGTGAAAGAGAGAGTGCATGAGGGGTTGTTGTTGAGGTGTGAATGGGGAAAGAGTCGGTTGGTGTTGGATTTGAGTAGAAGAGAAGAAGAAGAGAAGGTTGGAAAGGAAGCCATTGAAGAGAGAGAACTGTTGTGTGGGTTTGGATGAATTTGTTATGTGCACAACACTCTCATCTTTTCTAGTTTAGTTGAGTTGAAAGAAACTCAATTCAGTATTTTGAAAATTACAGAATTTACAAACATAAAAAGAAAGTAATTTTTTTCTTTTTCAATCGGGTTGAGTAAATAAATAAAATAATTAATTATATTTAATAATTAATAATTTAATTGAATATGTGCTTAAATATAAATGGATGTCAAGATAATTCATTTCGAAATAATGAGAATTCCAAATGATTATCATTCTATATATAGACTATGATCTCAAATATATCATCCTATAAAAAGATTATTTCTTTTTATCCCCATTCGAAGAGTTTTCAAGGCATTACGAGTACCGCTTGAGAAAAATCCACAAGCCAACCAGTGTCAAACACTTGTCTGTACACTTTTGTATTTTAGAATTATCGTTGTCATTGTCTAAAAATTTTTCTCATTATATTCATTAAGGTATTCCTATAATCATTAATATCAAAATGTCATAGATCCTAAGGTTTGTGTCCATGGGGAGACGCTTAAGTGCTCCCAGCGTGATGAGTGATCAGTGCATATTTATGCACTTTCTCCTATATTTTTACTTAGTCATTTCTTTACTTTATCTTGATTATTTTTATGTTTTATTTTGTTTTTATATTTTATTTTATTTTTGGCTTAATTTAATTTCCGCATTTATTTTTCAGCTTTAGTAGTCTGCACGAAAACGATCATAACTGGAGTTCCGGAAATCCGTTTGAGGCGTTCTAAAAATCGCCGGAAAGCTAAGAGAGAGAGCTACGACTTTCGTGTTGGAGTCGAAGTCAGATTCGGAGCCCAAAATTCCAGAATTCCGATTGAAGTTACTGCATTAGAATTTTATTTTAGTGTTGGGTAATGTATTGGGCCTGGTTTATGTTTTCGACCCAGTTGGGTTATGACCCGAATTTGCTTTCTTTTTAAAGGAAAAAATACTCGTGTTACTGTTCACCTAGGTGCATTTTCACGAAAAATACATTCGGAGCTTTGAGAGAACCATGGAGAGCTAATTCCTTAGAGTCATTCTGCTGTAATCGCGTTCCAACGCTTTGAGGTTTTTACTTTATCAATCTAATTCGTTTCTCTTTAAACACTATTCTATGAATTGCTTTTGCTTAATCTGTTAGTTTATAGAATTGTTTTGATTAAATTTGTATGATTGCATCCTTAGCTTTTATTCGCCGTTACGTCGCTTTGTCGTTAATTCGCGTTTATAATTCGTGTTTGCTTAATTTACGAAAACTTAATCTGTTTGCTTAATTTAGAATATAGGATTGTTAATCTAGTTTATGTCTTTTGCGCTTGTCAATTGACATAGGAATCGAATAGAGATCGAAATCGCTTAGGAAATTGGTAAGGTAGAAACCCGTGATAAGCCGGAACCGAAAACAGTATATTGACTTATTTTGATAATCACTTATTTTAACCGCTTAATTGCATTTTCTTTATTTATCCGATCAGAAACCAAACCAACTCCCCATCCATTTTGAATTTGGTAGATTAATCACATTAAAGAATCCTTGAGACGATATCCGAGTTCAATTGTCGCTGTATTACGTTTTCATCAAAAACACTCGTCTTGATCCGCGCGCGACAACTGATCAATGAGTTAGGCCCTCCACGACGGAGAGATGGATTGGGCCGACCCCGTGTGATGAGCGGGACAGAGCAATATATATATATATATATATATATATATATATATATATATATATATATATATATATATATATATATATATATATATATATATATATATATATATATATATATATATATATATATATATATATATATATATATATATATATATATATATATATATATATATATATATATATATATATATATATATATATATATATATATATATATATATATATATATATATATATATATATATATATATATATATATATATATATATATATATATATATAAGAATCTTAATCGGTTGAGTAAGTAAATAAAATAATTAATTATATTTAATAATTAATTATTTAATTGAATATGTGCTTAAATATAAGTGGATGTCAAGATAATCCATTTCGAAATAATAGGACTTCTAAATGATTATCATTCTATATATAGGCTATGATCTCAAATATATCGTACTATAAGAAGATTATCTCTTTTTATCCCCATTCGAAGAGTTTTCAAGACATTACGAGTACCGGTTGAGAAAAATCCACAAGCCAACCAGTGTCAAACACTTGTCTTTACACTTTTGTATTTTAGAATTATCGTTGTCATTGTCTAAAAATCTTTCTCATTATATTCGTTAAGGTATTCTTATAATCATTAATATCAAAATGTCATAGATCCTAAGGTTTGTGTCCATGGGGAGACGCTTAAGCGCTCCCAGCGTGATGAGTGATCAGTGCATATTTATGCACTTTCTCCTATATTTTTACTTAGGCATTTCTTTACTTTATCTTGATTATTTTTATATTTTATTTTGTTTTTATATTTTATTTTATTTTTGGCTTAATTTAATTTCCGCACTTATTTTCAGCTTTAGCAGTCTGCACAGAAACGATCATAACTGGAGTTTCGGAAATCCGTTTGAGGCGTTCTAAAAATCGCCGGAAAGCTAAGAGAGAGAGCTACGACTTTCGTGTTGGAGTCGAAGTCCGATTCGGAGCCTAAAACTCCAGAATTCCGTTTGAAGTTACTGCATTAGAATTTTATTTTAGTGTTGGGTCATGTATTGGGCCTCGGTTATGACCCGAATTTGCTTTCTTTTTAGGGTAATGTTAACTTGTGCCCTTGGGGCACATGTTAAGAACTAAATTAAGAAAGATTGTCTTGGAAATTGTGTATAAACTTTAATTAAAGTATAAAATTAATTTTTAAATTATTTTTTCCAATGCAAATTTACTATAAATGGTTTTCTTAACATGTGCCCCAAGGGCATAAGTTAACATTACCCTTCTTTTTAAAGGAAAAATACTCGTGTTACTGTTCACCTAGTTACATTTTCACGAAAAATACATTCGGAGCTTTGAGAGAACCATGGAGAGCTAATTCCTTAGAGTCATTCTGCTATAATCGCGTTCCAACGCTTTGAGGTTTTTACTTTATCAATCTAATTCGTTTCTCTTTAAACACTATTCTATGAATTGCTTTTTCTTAATCTGTTAGTTTATAGAATTGTTTTGATTAAATTCGTATGATTGCATCCTTAGCTTTTATTCGTCGTTACGTCGCTTTGTCGTTAATTCGTGTTTATAATTCGTGTTTGCTTAATTCACGAAAACTTAATTCGTTTGCTTAATTTGGAATATAGGATTGTTAATCTAGTTTATGTCTTTTGCGCTTGTTAATTGACATAGGAATCGAATAGAGATCGAAATCGCTTAGGAAATTGGTAAGGTAGAAACCCGTGATAAGCCGGAACCGAAAACAGTAGATTGACTTATTTTGATAATCACTTATTTTAACCGCTTAATTGCATTTTCTTTATTTATCTGATCAGAAACCAAACCAACTCCCCCTCAATTTCGAATTTGGTAGATTAATCACATAAAAGAATCATTGAGACGATATCCGAGTTGAATTGTCGCTGTATTACGTTTTCATCAAAAACACTCGTTTTGATCCGCGCGCGACAATTGATCAATGAGCTAGGCCCTCCACGACGGAGAGATGGATTGGGCCAACCTCATGTGATGAGCGGGACAGAGCAATATATATATATATATATATATATATATATATATATATATATATATATATATATATATATATATATATATATATATATATATATATATATATATATATATATATATATATATATATATATATATATATATATATATATATATATATATATATATATATATATATATATATATATATATATATATATATATATATATATATATATATATATAATAATTAATTATTTAATAATTAATTATTTAATTGAATATGTGTTTAAATATATGTGGATGTCAAGATAATCCATTTCGAAATAATGAGAATTCTAAATGATTATCATTCTATATATAGGCTATGATCTCAAATATATCATCCTATAAGATGATTATCACTTTTTATCTCCATTCGAAGAGTTTTCAAGACATTACGAGTACCGGTTTAGAAAAATCCACAAGCCAAACAGTGTCAAACACTCGTCTGTTCACTTTTGTATTTTAGAATTATCGTTGTCATTGTCTAAAAATCTTTCTCATTATATTCGTTAAGGTATTCATATAATCATTAATATCAAAATGTCATAGATCCTAAGGTTTGTGTCCATGGGGAGACGCTTAAGCGCTCCCAGCGTGATGAGTGATCAGTGCATATTTATGCACTTTCTCCTATATTTTTACTTAGGCATTTCTTTACTTTATCTTGATTATTTTTATATTTTATTTTGTTTTTATATTTTATTTTATTTTTGGCTTAATTTGATTTCCGCATTTATTTTTCAGCTTTAGCAGTCTGCACGGAAACGATCATAACTGGAGTTCCAGAAATCCGTTTGAGGCGTTCTAAAATTCGCCGGAAAGCTAAGAGAGAGAGCTACGACTTTCGTGTAGGAGTCGAAGTCAGATACGGAGCCCAAAATTCCAGAATTCCGTTTGAAGTTACTGCATTAGAATTTTATTTTAGTGTTGGGTCATGTATTGGGCCTGGGTTATGTTTTCGACCCAGTTGGGTTATGACCCGAATTTGCTTTCTTTTTAAAGGAAAAATACTCGTGTTACTGTTCACCTAGTTACATTTTCACGAAAAATACATTCAGAGCTTTGAGAGAACCATGGAGAGCTAATTCCTTAGAGTCATTCTGCTGTAATCGCGTTCCAACGCTTTGAGGTTTTTACTTTATCAATCTAATTCGTTTCTCTTTAAACACTATTCTATGAATTGCTTTTGCTTAATCTGTTAGTTTATAGAATTGTTTTGATTAAATTCGTATGATTGCATCCTTA